ACTGTGTCCCGTTGGGGCGAATGTGAGGGAGGAGAGGCTGTGCAAAGAAGGCTGTGTGCCTGGGAAGTGTCGTCCTCGCCCTACTAGGGCAGAGCGCTCCGTTTTGGTAGTTGCAGTGACGAGCTTGGGGGCACGAGCTGCACTGGAAACACGCTGATTGTGTTTCCTCTCTGTGTGCGTTGGCGTGTGCTGCAGTGCTGTGCAGTGCTATTGCAGTGGGGATGTGGGTCCTGCAGCACTAAGGTTTGCTTGCATCCACGAAACACGGATTAACAAAGTGTTCTGTGTTTCGTTCTTGTAACGGTAATCCCCAGAGGGCAGCGAGATGGTGGCCCCCTTTGTTTTTCTCTTACAGCTTCATTTTGTGATGCAGTTTGGTTGCACAGCAGCAAGAACTGCTTTGAACACAAAAGAAACAGTCTCAAGCCTGTGTTGGTGGGACTGTTCTCCCAGGGCTGAGCCTCTGGCCAGCTCTTGCATGGAGCTCTGCTCCCAGGGAGTGTGAGCGGTGCCTGGGGCTGCGTGGGGGGTCCCCGGGGGCCGGGGCCACTGCGAGGGGCCTCGCCCCTTCCCCGTGGTGCGGCAGTGGTGGCCGGGGGTGGGTGGGTGTATGCATGCGTGCATGTGAGACTCTGCTAATGTGGGAGCGTGTGGATTCCCCTGGAGTTGTGGGGTTTTTTCTGGTGGGGACAAGGGTACCCAGATGTGGCCTGAAATGTGACAGCTGGGGGATTTAGCAACCTCTTCAGAGCCTTTCCGTCCTTCGAGGAGGCGTTTTTCTATGCTACTTTTGCTACTCGTCACTTAGTCCACCTAAAACATGCTTCTGGTTGGACCAGACAGCATCTTCAGAAACTCCTTTCTGACAGAAGTGAGTAGAAGAATCTACCAAAGGCTTTGAAATCAGAAGCTAATTTGGAGGTGTGGTGATGCTGGCAGCAGTGAGGTGCTGCACGCATCTTTCTGGGTGGGTGTCAGAGGTTAACCTGTCTGCTGTTTTCTCTTCACAGCTACTGTTTTCTATAGTTTTTTTTCTAGGAAAAGCAATGTGTTCCAAGTTTATGCTGACTTTTAGATATATTGGGTTTGTCATTACCCTCTTGTATGTGCACCAGGCAGGCTGCAATTTAGGTGAAACTAATTAGAGCTTGTAATGAGGCAAGAGCAGCATGGTTCTGTGAACATACAAGGCCGCTGCACCACGGACTGTGTATCCCACCCGATTGCATTGTACAGATGTATGCTTTTGTTGTTTCATCGTTGGTCTGCCTTCCAGAGTGTTCCATGCTGCATGTATCTGATACGTTTTGCAGTGGACATTTGCATCATCCCCAGTGCTGCATGCTCAGATGTTGTATGGCCAAGGTGGTCATGAACACGCTTGGATGGGAGGGGATCTGTGAGCAGCTGGCAGGAGAGGGCAGTCGCAGCAGAGCCCTGATACCCCTTGATGCCAGAGAATTTTCTGTCCTTCTCCCTTTGTTGCCCCAGTGTTTAGCATATTCACAATTATATTTTTAATAAAGGGGAAGAGTTTCTACTGTTGTAGATCTGCTAAGACGCTGGATTTCCAGAAATGGGCATGTGCTGTTAATATGGTGGAGCCTCTGAGAACAGCGTGCCCTCCCTCTGCAAAATCTGCATTTTATGAACCCCTTTAATTATCAGTCAGAGAGCAAAACTGCACTGCTCTGGGTCATTCTGTGTTAAAGGTTGTGCTGTTTTATGGCTTGTGGGGATTTACTTGGTTGCGTACAGTTTCTAGGTGGGTGCAGAAGCTTAAACATGTAGAATGGGTCAAGTTGCCAACATTGGTAGCTCTAGTTGCCAAGCAGTGACCCAAGCAAGCAGACTTGGTGTGCAGTTGAAGGCTGTAGAAGTCGCATTTCATGCTTGTAGGTGGTAGAGGGATGGAAATTCAGCACTGTTTAAATGCTGGTACTGATTTATATAGGACAAAGTACGAATTGGGCACTTCTGTAATGCTGACTGTGTCCAGAAAGACTAGTTTGCAGAACCTCATACTGGTATCTAAAATGCACTTTAGGTTATTTTATCTTTAACCCAATTGCTGCAATTTCTTTTGTATATACTTTCACAAAGTTTATTTTTGCTCTGAGTAAAAGTTAACAGGGGTGTGCAAAGATGAGCACTTAACTTGGTGCAATACTTGTAGCTAAAGATCATTGTCACATGTGGTCAGTCTGTCTGTGTCTGTCTAACTGAATATATATAGTAACTAGCTCAGTGACATACTGCCCTTCCCTGTCTATACCCAAGAGAAATTATGCATCATTAGCAAACGTCCAATCTATGCAAATATTCCACTGAGAGCACTGTGCTTTAGCAGGCCTTTTCTCTCACGCTTTCTGGTGGGCTGCTTGTCACTTCTGTTGGACACGGATGTGTTCCTTGGTGTGTGTCCTTTCTCCCTTGTCCTCCGCTCTGTTCTGCCACACGAGTATGAACAGAAGTGACAAGCTGTTCTGAAACAGGCATGTTGCACCTTTAAAATTTGTCTTCACGAGATCATTTTTGATGTCATGTTCTCTGCCTTACTTCGTGGAGGGTGGCACTTCTGCAGCCATCCAAGATATTGTTTTTGCAACTGCAGCAACATTGTTAAACTGTTTACAGTACTCTTCCTGCACCAATTATAAATAAGGCTCAGAGAGCGAACTAACGACTGGCCTGTTGGTTGTGGAACTGCTGGGGGAGACTGGTTAAGGTGGCATTGACCTTGGAGATGAAAAGCTGTTCCTGATGTGGAGGGGGAGCCCAGCTGGCAACTGGAGCCAGGTCTGTGGTGTAGAGCAGAGGGGGTCTTGGTGTCATGTTCGTTGTCCTGCTGCTGGCTGGCTGTGAGACCTTGGGCAAGTCCTTAACCTCTCTGTGCCTCGGTTTCCTACCTGTGGAATGAGGACAATGAAACTTGGCTTTGTAAAATGCTTGAGATCTGTGGGTGAAAAGTCCTTGATAGGAGTGATCTGAGCTAGCTGGGCAGAACTGCTAGAGTCAATTTGGACTGTAAGGCAAAAAAAAAAAGAAAAAGCATGTCTTTAATAAACCCTACAAATTTCTGATTGCATAGTTTTTAATTGTACACTATTTTTTCCGTAACATATTTTGGAAACAATGTCAAGTTTTTATAAATGTTACCTGTAGTTGATACTCATGGACAGGGCTGAACTTTTAACTTTTTTGCATCTTGTCTTGATAGATATCATATGTTCTAGAAGTTGGATTCTGTGTCTGCACTGAGAAATGCAAATTAAACTGGATATTTATGTAGTAGTGTACATAGTCTAAGTGTGTGTGTTCTTGGAACTAGTTTAAAAATCCCACACCATGCTTTTGGTGGTGTGCAAGCTGGCCAAAATTTGGTTCATTATGCAGTGTACACTTTCTCAAATAAATGCAGTTTCTACTTTTTCTTAAAAGAAATTTTTTTCATATGATCTTTTTCAGCAAAATCAAGGGTATCCTTTTGCAGTACCGTAGTTACAGTAGCTGGTATTTCTTGCTGTGTAGCTTTGTGTCCTTCCACTTGCTTACCGAACCGGAGCTATCTGTCCAACCCTTGTTTTGGAAAGCATTGTAGTTGCAGTTCTACTTCACACAGACCATCGTCAGCGCAGCGGACGGGGGCGCGCAGACCTCAAGCCCGGTTAGTTACCGAAGTCATCCTCGGCATCGACATCTGCCCAGTTGTCAAACCAGGAGGTCTGGGAGAACCGTAGGTTGTCTACTTACTGCTCTCGTTTCGTTTGACACGTATGGGGAGCTGGGCAATGGTCCTGGAGATGAAAAAGTAAAAGAACCCCAGTTTTTCAAGAATGTGTGTATGGTATTAAAGGAATTTATTTAACTATGAAACATGGGAACAAATGTGCTTACATTGAGCAATGTGAAGATGTTAGTTACAGGTACAGTACTTCCAAAGGAAGAGCATCTCCAAAATCCAAAAAAGAGTAAATATGAATTTGTATTTTTTGAAGAATGTAAAATGTGAAATAATGGTGTTTGCTTAATTGCTCATTTTGTATGAAGTTAATATTGTACTTTGAAATATCTGCAAAGAAGTGGAAATGAAATTAACTTTTTTGGAATTGAAAGCAATATTAATACTAATGGAATCCTAATTAAATGCTTATTTAAACACTGTGTTATAATATTATTTCCTAAGAGTATTTTAAATTATTTGGGAGACAAGTGGGTGCATCCTTCCCCTGCTCCCTTAGGAACAGACCAGGACGTGGAGGTGTTTCCAGACCCTGACAGACAACAGCGCTTGCCTTAGCAGACTCCTCCCTCCCTCACCGGCCGCGACCTTCACAGTGTTCGTCTCTTCAAGTTCACTCAGGTGTGGATGTGAGTTAGAGCAGATGTTGTGAGTCTACACAGAGTTCTTAATTTTTGAAAGTAGGGAATGCTTATCTTGTCCCTTTCACAGAAACACCAGCTGTGTTCAGTGCAGGTAGTGCGCTGTTGAGCACCAGCAAGGCGCTGTAAACCAGCTGAAGCTGCAGGGTGAAGGAAGCAGGAGGGAATTTCCTGTGGTAAAGATGGTAGTTTTAATACCTAAAACTCTCAAAGCAGGGATGCCAAGTAATTTCCAATAAAGAGAAAGGGAACTTGGGCTCAAGCTCCTGGCAATAAGGAAAACAAACTGAATCTCCACTCTGAATAAATCAAGTTTTCAGTGTGGCAAAACACCCCACCCCAACAGCTGCGGGGCCTCTCCCAGCCCAGGCCCCCAGCTGTGGCCAGCGGCAGCTCATTGGTGCATAGGTGGCTTCAGGATTATAGTTATCAGGAGCGATGGAGTTGCTACTGCCAAAACAAGGCGCAGCTTTTGTGCTTCTCCAGCCCCTCTGTGACCGGGTCAGCCAGCAAGCAGGCCTGGTCCCTGTGGCAGCCAAGGAAAGAGCATTGGCGGCAGACTGGTGCAGGGTGCTTGAAGGCTGCACCTCCTTCAGTCTCTCTGCAGGGAGACGAGATACAGACCAAGCCAAATATTGCTTTATTTTAAAGTGTGAATTTTGTAAGATAAAGTATCAGTGCAGCAAGAGAGAGCAGAGTCCGAGGCCGCAACTGAGCGGCACGTGCTGGCTCGTCCGTCTTTGGTTTTCCCCCGGCACTGGCCGGTCAGGCGCTCCCGGGGCCGCAGCGGAGCCGAGGCCTCCGGTCCCTCCCGGCTCTGTGCCGCCCCCCGCCGCGGCTCCTCAGGGCGCCGCGGGCCCGGGGCCGGGCCCGGAGCTCCCCGTGGCCGTGGCCGTGCCCGGGCCGGGCGGGCGGGCGGCAGCGCCCAGGGCGGCGCGGAGAGCGGCCATCTCCGCCGTCAGCTGCTCGCAGGCGGCGATGCGGGCGCGCAGGTGCCGCTGCCGGGCCTCCAGCACCCGCCGCAGCCTCCGCAGCTCCGGCTCCTGCGGCCGGAGACGGCGGTCAGGGGCGCGCCCACCCACCGGCACCCGCCGCGGGCACCCACCCACCGGCGCCCACCCACCGGCACCCACCCACCGCGGGCACCCACCCACCGGCGCCCGCCGCGGGCGCCCACCCACCGGCCACCCAGCGCCCACCACCCACCGTCACGCTCCCCCCGCCGTCCCCCGCCCACCCCCGGCTGCCCCCGGGGCTCCGCCGCCTCCGCCGCGGCCCCGCTCAGGCTCCGCCCGCCGCGCGTCGCCATGGAAACGGCCCGGCCGCCTCCGCCCCCGGATGTGCGTCACCGCGCCGCCCGCCGCCGGCCGGAAGCGGCCGGTGCATGCGGAGCGCGCGGTGCGCGGCGCTGGCGGGGCTGGCGCGGGCCGGGGAGGGGGCGGCGGGACCGGGCCGGGGCCGGGGCCGGGACCGGGACCGGGACCGGGACCGGGACCGGGACCGGGACCGGGACCTGAACCTGAGCCCAGACCTGAGCCCGGGGCCCGGCCCGAGCCGCGCCCGCCTGCTGCTGCCGCCCGGTGGCGCAGCCCAGCCGCACCCGCAAGGTGCGGAACCGGTATCGGGGGTGTGGGGCGAGGCGGGGGGGACCGGGCGGGGATCGGTGTGATCGGGAGGGGCGGGCGGGCGGGCATGGCTGTGGGGGGGCCGGTGTGAGCCGCCGCTGTCCCGCAGGTTGGCGGGAGGCGGTGTCGGCCGCCGCCGGTGCCCTGCAGGCGGGGGGGCTGGTGGCCGTGCCCACGGACACGGTGTACGGCGTGGCGTGCCTGGCCCAGGACTCGGTCGCCGTGCGGAGCATCTACAGCCTGAAAGGGCGGAACGGGGCGAAGCCGCTGGCCATCTGCCTCGGGGACGTGGACTGCCTCTACAGGTGGGCGCTCGGACCGGGACCCTCCGGCACCCGCCGCGGCTCCGCTGCCAAGGCCCGTGTGCGAGCCCGGGCAGACAGACAGCCTGCCTGTCCCGGGAGCCCGTGTGGCCGGCCGGCCGGCCCTTCCCGGTGGCCCAGGGCCCATGACGTGCTGCCTGTCACCCCCCAGGTACTGCCATGTGAGTGTGCCGGACCAGCTGCTGCGGGACCTGCTGCCAGGACCTGTGACCCTCGTCCTAAAGCGTTCGGAAGAGCTCAATAAAGACTTGAATCCTTTCACGTCGGTAGGCCTTCGCTGCAGGACGCAGCTGTGGTTTTGAGGGGCAGCGCGTTGGTTTTGTGCTTCTGCTGTAGCAGTTTTTATCCTTACGTGTGTGTTTAGCACACTCAGCAGCGCCCGGCGCTTTCCCTGGGCCGGTCCCTGTGCTCTCGTGCCACATGAGACTTGTTCGAACGTGGCACAAGCAGGATTGGCCAAAATCTGTTACCGCGTGTTACACTGTGCTCTCTTCTTCCTTGTAGCTGGTTGGTGTTCGTATTCCAAACCACCCTTTCATTATGGAGTTGGCACGAGCTTGCCCTGGACCACTGGCTTTAACAAGTGCTAACATCAGCTGCCAGACGAGCACGCTGATGGTTACGGTAAGGCTGATTTTGGCACTAAGTGATGTTATGGTGGTAGTTAGTCAGAGCCCCAGGCTCTCACCACTGGGAGCCAGCTTTAGCAACAAAACAAGGATTTCTCTGTTGCTGCTATTGTTTAAAAAAAGCTATAATCTCTAGCTAAAACAGCCCGCAGGCATGGGGTAGCTGTCTTGCTGTGATCTTCACCCTAAAAGGTGAAGGAGCTGAAAAGTAATATTTAAAGGCTTATGCGCAGCTTTTGAAGTGGGTGCCAAATCTGAAAGACAGAAACTGCTGTAGGAGGCATGATTGTGGAAGGGGGCTGCTGCTGTCTGTGCAGCTGGTACCTAACCTTACCTCGAGGAGATGTCTCTGCAAATCTTGTGCTGCCAGTGGTGGTATTGTTGGGCATAATACCGGACAGATGTCCTGTTCTTGCCCCCACATGTCTTGATAGACTTCTGGCTTTTTTTGTGCACCCCTTAATAAACAGTGGGGCCATTCAGAAGTCTTCAGCCAGAGAATCCTTATGGGTTTCCTGCATGTCTGAGATAAAACTGTTCTCAGAAATCAAACTGAGATATGTTCATGACAGGAAACAAGTGAGCTGACCTAACAGAGGAAGGGGAGGGACCTCCCTTGACACCAGAATGTCCAGCAGTGTCTGTTAAAGCACGATCACAAACTGTCTTCAGGACTGTTAGCCACATCTCTTGTTTTTCAGGAATTCCAAGACCTGTGGCCTCACTTGTCCCTAATCATCGATGGAGGCCCAATAGGAGATGTCCAGAGCCCAGAGTGTCGTTTAGGGTCAACTGTGGTTGACTTATCTGTGTCAGGGAAATTCAGCATCATTCGTCCTGGCTGGTGAGCACTTTCACTCTTCGCTGAATTTAACAAGCTGCTTCTTTACTTTAAATGGAGTGAAGCTTTCAAGTTAGGGTGGGTTGTGTTTTGCTTCTTCTCCCATAGCAGTTGAACGTTCACATTAATGTTGCTTAGCTTAATTAACAGCATGCTCAAAAATCCTGACAGAGCACTCCAAGTTCGGAGCCCGGGAGACCCCTTTCTGGAAGGTTCTATGTGAAACATTCTAGTTTCTGTCAGAATGCAGTACTGCGTCTAGCTGATTGTTCTTTCCCAGAAAATACAGCTTAATCCTTAAAACCATTTTTTTCTGACGGTTCTGTTTCACCCCACAGTGCGCTGACATCTACAGTTGAAATCCTGAGGCAGAAGTATGGCTTGCTACCAGAATCTTCGTAAGAGTTCGGACTCTGAGGGGGCTCCGCAGAGCTGGTAACGCTGGGCACCGTGTGCCTGCACGTTCAGGAAACGGGCGATCCTGACCTTGTTTAATAAGGTCGATGGGTTATGTCAAGATTAAAAAAAGAAAAGATAAAAAAACGGAGCAACAGTTGATGGGGTATCTTTATTAGTATCATATCTGCTATAATCTGAGAAACCAACCCAAATACGCATGCTCACCTCTTTGTGCTACTGTAGCATTCCCAAATACTTGTATGTTTTACTAACATGATTAGGCCTTTGAAATACAATAATTTGAACATTAAACTGTTCTCAGGATGGGATGATGGAAACTGTCTGATCCACCCTCCCCTTAACACTTATTCCAAGTCTTTTCTTTCAATGCAGATACAATAAACAAAGATGGAAAAGGAGGGTTTTGTGCTTTCGCGATGTTATAGCTGTGGTGTTCTCTGGCTTTTGTTCTCTGTTCTAAACAGAATCAATACTTACTACTGAGATGAAACTGCTTTTGAAAATCAACAGTATTCAAATGGTCCCTATGTAGACAAGAGCTCCTTGGAAGCACTTGGCTTCCTCATAATCCAGGGAATGAAAACAAGCCCTTAGCATGCTGATCTTCTTTTTTTTTTTTTTTTTTTTAAATGTGGACTTCCTTCTTGATTTTGTTCTGAAAACAGCGCTAAGCTGAAGTAAATAGGGAATAGATGAAAATTTCTGCTGGTGTTTATTCTTCATTGAAAAGTAAAGTTTATGGAGTTTCTATTAATTTAAAAACTGGTAAGCAGCTTGCATGATTTTGTTGTAAATGTTTAGTTTTAGACAGCTGATCATCACTTTTGATGGACTTAGGTGCTTAGTGAGAATGTGTATGGAGTTGTCATAAATAGAACCTTGTTTTCACATCCAGAGCTACCACTTCTCATTGATACAGACAAGTATAAATTCATTTTGTGGCTAATTTAGAAGGGTCCAAGCATGGCTAAAATCACAAAAAAAAAGGGGAAGCTACTGGGAGCTGAATCTCTTTCAAAGCACAAATTAATGGTGTTTTCAGTTGCATTTTTATTGTAAATATTTTATTCTCCTTGATTCTAAAGGGGATAAAGCAACTTCAGATCTAAATTTTCAAAACATGGAACACTAAACAATCAGTTCAGAGCTTTTAGTATAGATCGTTGCGTTTCCTTGGTTGCCAGCGTGTACAGTAGTGGTAGTAAATAGTCTCTAGAGTTCCAGCTCTAATTATCTCTCGTTATTTGGATACAGTGGACCGCAGTGACAACGCCCAGCGCAGAACTGCTCGGTATAGGGGCAGTTGGGTAAAGCAGAGGGTATGTAACAGAATGGCTGAGTTCCCCCTGCAGTGGACAGTTTGGAGGAATATTTACTCCTCTTTACAGTACGCTGATGCAGAAATGCTCTGACAGTTGCTAGCGGAGTGAGGGATCCGCGAGCCCCGCGGGCAGCAGGCCAGGGGCGTGCGGCGAAATGCCCGTGGGAGCGCAGCTAGCCACGTCGGAGAACACACGCGGTAAGGAAAACCAGCTCCTGGGCCCCCAGGCCAGCACCCCCTCTGAATTCCAGGGGAGCTCTGGAAGGGTCATCTCTACTAAATCTGCAGAGATAGGTTTGACTGCTGCTTGCCCGTTTCCTGCTCTCTCAGCCTTCCTCCTGTGAGCCGTAGCCAGGGCTCTGGCAGCCGGAGCCCCTTCGGGGGAACCCCTGCTCTGGGGCTGTGCTCCCGGCCGCCGGGGGGGCTGTCGGTGCTTCCTGGTGGTGGCACGGAGCTGGGTCAGGGAGCTGTAGGGGCCGAGCGTGGGGTAGAAGCTGGAGCCGATGTTGGGTGGGTGGTGGTGGCCGTGGAGTGGGGGGGAAGCTGGCCGAGACCTGGAGGGCAGGGTCCCAGTGCCGGTACTGGCCCTGGAAGCGGGGGCTGCCGTACCAGCCGTAGTACAGGACGCGCAGGTTGTAGGAGGGGCCGTCTGCTGCCCCCCGCCACGGGGGGCCGGTCGGTCGGGACCCACGAGGCTCCTCGCCAGACCGTCCCGTGGCTCAGCCCAGGCACGGCCCCGGCGGGGAGCGGGCAGAGACGCCTGGGGATGGGGAAGGACAGGGGCTGCCGTTCACCCGGGGTTCGCTTGAAACGAGCAGTGGGTGAAGGACTAAACCGATGGGAGGAAAGGAAAACACGCTCCAGCAAACACCGAAGCGTGACTATCGGAGCTGTTAGAGGAAACAACATTTTAATTGGGTGAATCTGTTATGCGCAAATGTTACAGGCGATAAAACTCTGCTAAATGGAAACCCAGTAATGAGATGGAACCTGTCAAGGGAACAAATTGCCTGCAAATCGGAAGCAGGCTTCTGAGGCGCCCCAGCAGCTTTGGGGCTTCCATTATTTCGCTTGGCTGAAGCTCGTGCCACCCCACAGCGCTGGAGCCTTCTGGCAGCATTTCCTCACGACAGCCACCCATGCAGAGTCGTGGTCTGCAGGAGGAGTGTGGGTAAGCGTTAGCGAGCTGTAGAGACAGCTAGAAGTTTGCCTTTTGGAGCTTTCTGTGTTTTTTTTTGGCTGGGTTAGATGCGTTCAAGAACAAACTGTGGGCTGGGTGCCAGGTTGGCAGCAGTGGTTCTGTAGGAGGTCAGTGGGAAGAGGTGTTGGGGGAGCATCCTGGTTCTGGCTGGTGTGCTGGGGCTCCAGAGGGGAGAGGGCCTGGCCAGCTCCTGTGTGATCCTGTGTGCTGTGTTTGCCAAAGATATCTGGCAAACTTCTCCCTGTTGCTCGTACACCAGCCCTGCTCGGGGGTGATGCCCGCTCCTCTCTTCCTGGGGACACCAGCGTCCATCCGAAGCAACCATTTCACGTCCCAGTCCCAGCTGTATTTCATACTTCACGATAGGTGGCTGCTACAGCCAGCACAGAGCCAGTATTGGAAGAGCAGCAAGGAACATCCCCCTGCTCAGTTGAGCCGTTTTTGGTAAAACAGGGAACCTCGTCTTTGTCCTCGGTCTCACTTGGGTGTAGGGCACAAGTGCTGCTGGAGCCTGAACTCTGCACACGTGGAACTTGCTCGAGGAATGCTTCATGTCTGTGTGGAAATGCTGTGCAAATGTTGTACCCGAAGGAGCAGAAAGAGGCATCCAACTCTTCTCCGGTTTCTGGATCTGGTCAGAACACCAATGCAGCTATGCCTTCCTAAGGAAGCTGCTGGACCTCCCGACTGCAGGGAGAAATCAGAAACCGTGGTGTAAATGTGCTTTAGTGGCTCAGATGGTGCAAGGCAAGCAAAAGCCTCTCCTGCTTCCCCCAATTATTTTTCAAATCTCTTTAAGAACAGTCTGATAATTTTGGAGGCCTGATTCATGCTTGGGGGGGACGCTCCTGTGTGTTTGTCCATCAGCCCACATCAGCCTGGGCCTCGTCAGGGCCTCGGTGAGCTTCGTTTGCCCCTTTGCCTCTCACTTGCTGTCATCTGCTGGAGGGAGATGAGGACACTTTTTAATCTAATTTTGCGTCTGCCAGTTGTGGGTGCAGCGAGCGTCGTGCTGAGCCAGCTAGCTCAGGAAGCTAGCAGTGCTGTGTTCTGAGTCATTTAATTCACTTATGCAAAGGACGCTGCTGTTGGTGACCTCCCGGGTGGCAGACCCTTGTGCCTGAGCACACCAGAGCCACCACGAACCAACTGCTGGAGGGAGGCAGTGGGGCTGAACACCACTGTTTTTTTGATGGACAGTTTTAAATTGCTCTATTCAGCCCGTCATCCCACAAGTAGCTGTTGTCATTTTCTTTCAAATAGCTACCTTCAGGCTACTCGGAGAGGTCAGGCTGCAGAGGGTGGATGCTCCAGGGAGGTGGGAAGAGCTATCTCTTTCTGTGTCTGATGCCAAGGACAAGGACACTGGGCAGAAATCTGCAGACCAGTGAATTTGCTGTCACTATTCTCCCTCTGTGAGTTCAACGCCTCTAGAAACTGTCTATGACGTTTAATTTATGAACTGACAGATGAAGGAGCTGAAGGCAGGGTAGAGCCATCTAAACAAAATTAATTTGGAAGCAGTGATCAAGGGGCATGTGGTGTCTGAGTTGGGATCTTCAGGTCTAACAGCCACATCTAACTGGGTGAAATGGTGGTGTGGCTCAGCCTGGGTCTCCATGCTGCCCGTCCGGCGTGTTCCAGCAGTATCGATCACAAGGATTAGTTTTTTACTGTAGTCCCATCCCTGAAACCACCTGACTCAACTGCCCTGTAGTGCAGGAGGCCCAGAAACACGAGTTCCCAAAAGTCACTGCACCAGGACACTTCTCCCGACGGCATCTCTGCGGATGACACCTGTCCTACATGACTCTCCCGCTGGCGTCCCCGGGGCCTCTGTCCATACAGGTTTGTTCTCTGAGCAGCCCCGTGAGCCGAGCTGGACCCCCAGCCTTCGGCTTCCAGGGTGGCCGAGCCGCCGGAGCCGTGTCTCCCGCCGCTAGATAGAGCTAGGCCACCACTGGGAGCCCTGGAGCCGGCGGCCGTGCTGGCCGACGGTGCGTACGGTTGTTTAAAAGCGTTACTGAGCGAGTGCTGCGCTGGGGCTGTGCCTGCACGGGCTCGGGGTGGTGCGGGTGGCGGCTTGTGTGCGGAGCTGCCGCTGCAGGCGAGCGGCTGCCGGGGAGAGCAGGGCGCAGCGCCGCTCCCGCCCTGCCTCGTCCTCGCAGAGCCCACGCTGGGATGATTTTTCCCAGTGTCTGAGTGCCACGGAGTGGTTATGTATCTTTATTGCTCGTGAGCAGCTGTCTCAGTCGCTGCTAATGGACTGTAATACGCACAGAGATGACCCCAAAATGCTGTTTTCACAGAAATTGCCTGTCTGCAGGGCTTCTGCTGTAAAAGCCCAGAAGCACCAGGCTGGGTGAGTTACTGTCATTTGCAAAGTGTATGTGTGAGGGGTCTCTGGGTGCTTCCCCTTCTCTGAGCCTTTGCTCTTACCTCATCTTGCCAAATCGGGTATCCTGCAGGATAGAGGGGGAGAGGGAAATAAGAGGGATCACTTCCCTGTCGTCTGCCTGCACAGGCCCCTCTCCCCTCCATGGCTGTCCCCTCAGTGCTGACGGGCACTGCTCTGAGCAGAGGGTATGACTTGGTGGAGGGGACGGTGCAGGGTGCAGGGGGTCCCTGGCAGGCAGGGCGTGTGGGCGGCCTCTCCACAGTCCCCGGTTCATACTGACGCCGAGCAGAGCCGGGACCAGCTGCCCCGATGCCTGGGTTCCCCTGCACCTCTGCTGTGGGTGCAGAGGCTGCTTGGGGGCTCACTGCAATGTCTCACCGTGGTGAGAGCTTTCCCTGCCGATTCTGCTCCCTCTGTTTGCGTGGTGAGTTTCCCCCCCCGTCTCGTTCATCAGCTATTCATCGATCTTTGCCAGGCTCCTCCAGCGCTCATCCATCACTCTCACACCCGCCATCCACTTTCCAAATGTTTCCTATTTTTCCGGTGATGTATTTCCTTGTTCAGACAAGCTAATCTCGCTCCATCGATAACGGGGGAGCGGCTGTGCCGTGACCCCTGTGCTGGCACAGGCTCGTGGCTCTGCCCTGCGTGGACGGAGCCGGCCAAGCCGCAGCGATGCTGGCCGAGCGGTGGAGCCGCTTCCCCGGCTGCCGGGGCTCTGCTGCAGTGGGTCGGCCCTCCCCTCGGGGGATTCTGAGCGGGCAGGTGGAGGTGATGCCCTCACGGCCAGGAAGGGTTCTTTTCCCATAGCTGGGCGGGAGGCAGTGGTCTTGGGGAAGGTGAGGCAAAGCCCTGAGGCAGAGCAGCCTTGCTCCAAAGGGGCTGGCTTTGGGGTCTGCTCTGGGGTGTCTGAAGCCTTGTCTCTCGGCCACAACTTGGCGTGGCCTTTGTGAGCAGCCTCGGTGGGCAGAAAACTGGGGAAATGTATCAGCGTCTCAGCTGGTGCCTCTGCTGCTGGCTCATTCCATGCTACTGGTGTTCAGTGTCCCTGCAAGTGACAGCTTTATTTGTGCCACCGGCATCAGGAGGATGAGCCACACGTCAGGCATGGGTGAAACAGCTCGTGCCCTTGTTCCCTTGCAGGAAATGCAGGCCCTATAAATTACTTGTTCCCTCTGGCTTCTGGGTGTCTGCAGGCCACCACTGCTGTCAGGGTGATGTACTCAGCACCAGCTAAAGTGGCCAGCCCTTGTGTCAGCATTTGGGCACTGTCAGCACTTCTGGAATGCACCCAGCATGGAACAAACCCGGGCTTTGTTGTTTATCCAGGTGTTCTTGGTACTTTCCAAAACAGGGAGCCTGCTGCTACTCCAAGTGCCTTTGTGCAAAGACTCAGTGCATGCAGTGGGCGGGGGGACGTGGCATCAGGACCGACAGTGATGGTGAGTGTCCGGGACACTGCAAGCTGTCTGTGGAGATGCACTGTGAAAATACACTCATCTCCAGATAGGACACACCGATTAGACAGATAGCTTCTGCTGGAGTGGAGAGAGATGCCTTTTTAGATCTTGTAGGTGGAACTATAAACACTTACATAAGCCAATTCACAGGAGCAGTACAGATCAGGGTGACTCTTGTGTTTGCAACCCTTACTGAAATCACATTGGCATGAGCGCTCAGAGCAGGAAATACATGGCTTGCATTTTAATTAGCACTTGCCCTCCAAATAAAAATGAATCTTTAGAACCTCATTAGCAGAGCCAGTTCAAACTCATAGAGCGATGATTCAAATGAGCAACAACAGACCAGGCAGGCTTAGTCTGTGTTGATATCAGAGGTGAAGCTGCTGAGTGTCTGACCCTTTCCATCCCTGTTGAAGCCGTTGGGGAAAAATGCCGCCAGGGGGTTGTGTTTGGAAGCCTTGGCCGAGTAATCGGGTCTGTCTGATGTCAAGCAGTTGCTGGGTAACTCTTGCTTCTCACTGTGATCTTATCTACTGATGTTTATCGAGTGCTTTCCCGTGTCCGCAATGTCATTCTTGCTGCTGCAGTTGGTGGCTAAAAGCCTGTGGCTTTTCATACCCTTTTCTAGTTTGTGCAGCTGTTACACGACAGAGGTGGTCGTGCTGAGAACTCTTCACAGCTGGTATAGTTGGAGCACCCTTTATTGTGGACTTTTTGTTATCGTTTGGAGTACTGTAGGAAGCAGGACATAAGTTGGAGCATCCCAGGAATAACTCTTGTTAGAGGAACATGCCTCAGAGAATGTATTTAATTGCTTTAATATTTTATAGACATTTTTGGCCATCTCTAACTATGATTGACTCTAGATTTATTCCTTGCCCTTCCTTGAGCTCTGCAGGTCTGAGTGAACATGTATGGCTTCACAGTGGCACAGTGCAGGCATGCTCTGCTAGGGATAGACGTGCCTCAAGTCCTGGCCTTGATGGGGCAGTCAGGGCATCTTTGGCAAAACTGCCCCGTGCCTGGGCAGGGGTGAGGGGCTGTCCCTGGGGACACCCACAAATACCGCCTCTGTGTCCTGAGGGCTCTTTGCCTCTCATGCCACTGAA